ATAGGTAAGTGTGGACTTAAAATCTTAAGAATGAATACCCTTCTAGACAAGAAGAAAAAGTAATTTTCTTGTATTACTATAAAACTGCTAGAATTTACACCAGATATGAATTCATCATAGTGATGATTTGCAGGATAAAAGAACATGGCAACTACACTTCACACTGTAATTTCAACACATGATTTAGGAACAAAATCCCAAGTTTTAAAAAGTGGGCTCTCTAAGCTAAGACAACCAATTTCAACATTACACTGTAACAACATTTTGGGATTCTCTGTCTGAAAATTATACCTTCATTTTGTTTCAAGAACAAATTTAGGGTGGTTGACTGATACCTTGTGCATGTACTTTTAATACCTCAAAATATATAAATTTTAATATATGAGTACATATATATGGATCCCAGTAATAAATCTTAGGGAGGTGATTTTGTAACATAAACACCAACAGAAAATTAAAGTGTCGGTCCTAAATACATTTTACTGGCATATACCAGTTTGGCTATTTGTTGTATGTTTGGAGGGAAAAAGCAGTTCTTTTTAATGGGTCCTCCAGCTCAAAAATCAAAACTAGGCCAGTCTTTTCTTGATTTAAAGTCCCAACATTTGATGCAGCCCAGTGTTATAAAGGTTCAGAAGGTGAAAGAAACTTTTATCCTGAACAAACTCTAAAAGAAATTTAAAAATCAAATTTTAGCCGTGACTGGTTTAAGAGTAAAAATTAAAAAGACAGTTTTATCATTACCACCCAACATTAAACTGCAAATATCTAATTTGCTCATACTTGTGAAAAGTTTTTAAACTCATGTTTGGCAAAACCTTGAATGTCACTCTTTAAATATGATGATAATAAACCCATCTGCTCAGGGCAACAATCTGCATGAGTTCCAACAAATGTCCCAGTAAGGAGACAGTGCACAGGGCAGGTGCTCCCACATGTAGGCATTCATTTAACCCCTCATTAGAAGGCTCTCGCCTTTGATAAGCACATGTCAGCCTGAAGATTCAAGGGGGTAGCATTTTTAACTAAATTGTTTATATGCATAGCCAAATTAGCTCCTTTGACAGGTCAAGTCTAGAAAAATAGCCATGGTACCTTTAATGCTGGGAAATTCCCTAACCTAAAAAATTCCCTCTCCTGAAACTTCACAATAACAACTGCATGTAACAAACACCACATTGAAGCCATTTCCATTCATTTTTGCCAAATCAGAGCCATCAAGCTGCTAGCTCCAGTGAGCTATGAGACACCTGGCCCTTCCTGCTCAGTCTATGTGGAGAACAGAAATGAACAGAAATGAACTCCTCCCTTGTCTCTATTGCATTCAGGACTGCGGGGTTCCAGGCCTCTTGATCTGCTAGTAGAAGCTTTGGGTGAAGAGATGACTTCCCCCTGGACACTGAGATGTTGATCTCCACAGAGAGGGGTCCACAAGCTACAGCTTTCAATCTACAAAGTTCTTCAGGTTCAGAAAGCTGGTTAAACAAAGGTCAAGGAGAGAAGAGTGTTAGTTTCTGAGGAAGCAACATCCTAATCCTTACAGCTCCCTAAACACAAATGGAAACACCAGTGAAACAAGAGGTACAGGACATTGGTGGGATGTCTCCAACAGTTATAATAGATACTACGTGTGGCCACAACCTTCCTGTGGCCTGAGTATCCAAATTATCTACATTTCATCTAAAAGATGGTCAATTTAGAGAATGTTGGGCAATCTCACTTTGAAAGGGACTAGGTCACCTAACGAAGGAGTTGGCAAACTTTCTGTAAAGGGCCAGACAATAAATATTTGAGATTTTCTGAGCCATATGGCCTCTGCCATAATTACTCAACTCTGCTGATGACATACAAACAGTCACAGACAATATAGGAATAATGGGCGTGGCTGTGCTCCAATAAAATTTTACTTACAAAATCAGTCGGCGGGTCAGATTTAGCCCAGGGACCGTCGTTTGCCCACCCCCAATCTAGACAGCTGAGTCCAGTCCACAGTGGTAACATCTGCCTGTGGACTTAACTGTAAAAACAAGGATCGCACAGACCCTAAATGCTTTATTCTGATATTTCCTCCTAACACTTTTATCTTCCAAAATCGCCGTGGTCTTTTTGAGATGAATTAAGGAAGAATCCCTCCAATGGCCTTAGTAATAGCAAATATCAAAAATTCAAACTATAGCTCTGTATCACTTACAGGCAGCAGGAGGAAGATAAGAAGACAAAGTCTGCTCAGAGGCCACATCAAAGGAGGAGGACCCCAGCATAGTCCTAAAGTCTGTCAAGGGAGAGATGTCCCCTTCCACATCAGAGATCCTCACCAATGGCAGCACTAACAAAGCACTGCCTTGTGAGGAATTTGTTTTGTTTTTTAAAAGGAACTACAGGAAATACTAGATTTGTAAATCAGCCATCATGAGGTAAATTAGGAATCTATGTTTTTATGGTGGAGTCACCACTCAAAATAAATACTGTTCTGTTTTGTTCCAGCCCACTCTGCTTCAAAAAGAACAACATTTATAAGATTTAACAATTTATACATAGAAAACAAGCTCCCCTGAGTGGCCAAAAGGAACCCCCACACCAATAAAGCTTTGACTGAAGATAACTCTTGAATGCCCCAGAATTTTGGGAAATGAAGATGCCAGATTACTCACCATTCAGCTATTTCATTTGCAATCAGCAGAACTAAAGCAATGATAGCAATTTATAAATTGGCATGTTGTATAGCTCAGTAGAAGGAAGGACTTTATCTGGAAGCCACAGCCTACTTGGGTAAGGACACTTTCTAAAGGCAGCCATGTAGGACATAAAAGCTCACTTGGCAAAGCCATGCACCTATCTTTACAGCCTCTTCCTTTCTTTAAGCCTGACACCATTGCTGCAGAGTGAGAGTGATTTGCAAGTATTGACTGCCTGGAATTCGCAGTAGGATATGATTTCAAAAATTCAGAATGAAGATCTTCAGCACTCACCTAGACTCATGCTTCCCGAGGGTGGAGGGGAGTAGGGAGAGGTGGCAATGTTAAAGGCAATTTCTGAGGGAAGGTTAGAGCTGGGGAAAGAACTTTGGGTCCTCTAGTAGGAAAGGCTGGTCTCCCTAAGACCTTCCAAACCATCTGTGCCATCCTGAGCATTACGATCTGCCGCAACATTGGCCTGGACCACAGACACCTCCTGCAGTGTCTGCAAAATGAGTAACGGACATCAGGAAGGAAGAGGCTTGGGGGAAGTGGTGGAACTGTGAAGAGGCACAAAGCACTTTCAGCTTTACTCTAAAAGGTTGAAGGGACATTCTGCTCAACAACATATTTATTCTCAATGCTTCAGAATCTCCTTCTGTCTTTCCATCATAATTAAATATCCAACTAGACATTGCCCTTTTTATATTCTGAACGAACCTTATTAGTCCTGGATTACAACCTCATAGGCATAGTGCTGCAAATCTTTGCAAGAGCACTGGCTACATTCAAAGGTCTGCTACCTAATGGCAGGCGGAGCAGTTTGAACACTTAACACAGAAAATAATCAGTAGTCACATATCTTACTAATTAAAGAAAAACAGTCAAGCTGGAAAATTAAGGGAATGAGATCTCTTAGTTAATTTTCTGGTTAACTGAGTGTTAAATAAAAAATGATATTTTTCTTACGTCCTTAAATCTTTATTTTTTTCTTAATTATTCTTCAATGTACTGGTCCACACGGTCACCATAAAAGAAGTCAATACAATCAGCACAACATATTGCTTCTTGGATTGAAGAACCAGCTATTATTTTTAATATTATGCCATCAGTTTGGATATCAATGGCAATTATATAGAATTTGCTCCTATGCGGAAGTTCAGAAAATTGAACTGAACATATTCTGAGCCCAGGATGAGGTGTGAGAGTTGATTTTAAATAAATAATTTCGTTCCAATTTAAAAAAAATCCCATTTGCTTCATTACTAAGGTAAAGTAGGCAAGTACAAGCAAAAAAATTCTGCTCTCGGAGTATAGCCTGTTGGATTTTAGAACCTGTGCCACACAACGATTGACCCTTTAACAATGTATTTTTACCTCTTGTGCTTGTCCTGATGACACTACAGCATGCTGCTGGAGGTTCAAGGAGTTGGTCAAAATTTAAAACAGAGAAAGGGGAGAGTAGAGGAGATAAAAGCTTATGAGAGAGGCAGCCAGCAGGGGGAGAACCATGGGGACTAGAAGGGTCAAAAGGACAGAACTTGCCAGAAGACAGCCAAGTGCAATTCCATTTTTTTATCTGTAAACAAATCTAAGGATGCTCATCCTTACTCAAAGCGGTTGGTTGTAAATGATTTGGATATTCATGTAAACAAACCAAGACAAAATAATAAAATCACATGAAGAGTTAGGATGCAAGCATCTGCTCTGCTCCTATTTCTTTAACAGCCCATGATATTGAAGAAAGGATATTCACAAGCCATCTGCCACATGATGGTCACTGTGGTTAGACACTGGCAATTAAAAGGGTTAATTTAGACATAAGACATAAACTAATTCTCCAATTTTATAAGGAAATAAGATCCTGTTCCCAAATGAAAACGATATGCTCAGTGACCAACCAAAGCCTGCAGTACCTTTTGTTCCAAAGTCCTAATACCTTGTCGTTCCCTGTATTCTATTACCAATCAACTTTCGTTTGAATAACCCAGGTAATTGGAATATGTCTGTACACCACACAGACCAGGTCAAAAACTCTTAGATGGAGCCTGTTGTCTCTAATCCCTGAATACAAAAATAGCCACGCACTTTTGCTGAGTGTTCAGCTTTCAGAGACTTCAAGGTCGGCCCCTACATAGCCTTCCCTGATAACACTGGGATTTTTAAAAAAAAGGTTGTAATTTTAATGAAATGATAGGTGAAAAGGCTAAAAATCATTTTAAATTATAGAACCATGAGATGAAATTCCATTATAGTTAGATTTAAGTGGATTTCATGATAACAATCACAAAAAAATAAATAAAGTGTCATAAGTTAACAGCCTACCTATTCCTGAATTAGCTCCAGTGACCACGACCACCTTGCCCGTGAAATCTCTGCCCTGGAGAATTTCCATGGCAGTGGTACTGCCATCGTATCTCTGCCGGGTAGTAGGCTTGGTCGGATTATCGTCCACAGTAAATGCCAGTCTTGGGTCCAAGTAGGTAGTTCTTTTATTTATATGGCTGCACAGAAAAGGAAAAAGCAGTGAACATAGGCATTTATACATATAATCTTATGGTTTAGGCAAACTCCATTTTTCACGTACCAAAGGGCTTACTCTTAAGCCTAGAAAGAGCAGGTGCCCATTTAATATCTTCTAGACTCCACAAGGATTACATTCCTGCCTGGAAAGACAGTCATCGAAGCCTTTCCTTCAGAACTGCCTATGAAACACCGTAACACACACTAACTATTGCCTTATATCCTCAAATATCGAAAAAAGGCTCCTTGAGAAGGTTTTTATTTAATTCATGTAAGTGTGGTTATAAGATCTGTCAAACACTCTTCTTGGTAGATTTCAATTAAATCTCTTAGCCCTGTGCAAGGGCCCAAAGACTGGTAGAGAAGTACAAAATTCAAAATGATAAAAGCCGTAACAGTAAATGTGAAACTAGCCAACTAATTCTAATGGTTTTGATTTTAAGATTATACTCATACCTCCTACAAGTACTCTAATTTTGATTGGAGTTGATCTAAATCTTGTAGAAACAATATTATAATATATTGGCACATATGGATTAAAAAGTTACTCCTTTTAATAGATTTTTTACATTTTAAATGTATTCTTGGAATTTAAGATAAAGACCTAAAAATATCTTTAAAAACAATTAAGAACTCTCCAGAAATAGATGAGGTTTCATAATTTATAATGTATTCATAATACGTGTATAAAATTATATAGTTTAAAATCCATACTTACCATCCTATAAATACTAAGTCCCAAGAATAATCCAACCTTTATTTTATTACATCTATTGCCTGCCAGATGAGCTGTGTAACTCCAATGTTATATACAAACAGAGCAGTGCTGTGTGGGAGCCATCTCATAAAAGTCAAACGTGCCTATCTCTTCCTCAGTGACTTTGCCTTGGTAGCTTGAAATTGGCAATTGTAAAAAACGTATTTACACCATAGAAACAAATCTAGGCTTTTATCCCCCTAAAGAGCTGTCATTAAACATTTACCATCACACCACTTTAACAGGCTCAGAGAATTGAGGTGACCAGCAGGGGAGCCAAGCTTGCCTCCAAAGCCCCTGCTTATTCCTCTACTTAAGACTTGGAGTTGACCAAATTTGACCCACTACCTGTTTTTTGTAAATTAAGTTTTATTGGAACACAGCAATGCCCATCATTTACATATTGTGTATAGTGGCTTTAGCACTACAATGACAGAGCTGAATAAATGCAACAGACACCATGTGGCTGGAAAAGCCTAAAGGTATCATCTAGCCCTTTCCAGATAAAAGTCGACAATCCCTGCGCTAGAGTAGACAAGTGGTTCTCAAACTAGTGTGAGACAGAATCTTCTAGAGGCCTTGTTAAAGCACAGTTTGCCAGCCCTGTCCCCAGAGTTGCTGATTCAACAGGTCTCAGCCTGGGAGCCTAAGAATGTACATTTCTAATAAATTCCCAAGTGATGCTAATGTTGCTGGTACAGGAACTACACTTGGGAACCACTGCTCTAGGTTGATTAAGATTAACACCTACTTCAGGGGAAGAACCTGCCGAGCATTAATGTAAAGGCAAAGCCTAGACAGGAGAAAAGTGAGATGACCACACAAAAATTTAAGAAATTCTATAGCTGATTTTTTAAAAAAATCAACAAAGTTAAAAGAAAAATTTGGAAAAAACATTTGCAACATACAACCAATGGGTTGATATCCTTAATTTGTTGATGAAAAAAGCTTTTATAAATCAGGGGGGAAAGACCTTTTACAAACTAAGAGGCAGCAACAAACATGCCACCTATCCAACTGCCACAGAGCCTCATATTCCTGGGGCTGGCCATGGTGGCTGAGACACTCATCCCAAGCAAACCTTGGCCCATTTGCTCCTAGTAACGGATATGCACCAAGAGTTCGCTGTTTGTTCAAAAACCACTTATGCCATCTGAACTTGTTACTGTGACTGCATTATTTAATGAACTATTATTACATGAACTGGTAACATGTGAGGTGAAAACTGTCACTATAACAACATGAATGAATGTTTGAATGTTTGGCAAAACATTCAGCCAAAAGTTTGGCTGAATGTTTTGAAGAGCCTCAAAGACAAGTAGGTAGGGAAAAAAATGTTTTGGTTCAATCAAGCACAGTAAAAATGCTAGAAAAACACCATAATACTCCCAAGAGATGTAGCATTCAGATTCTTTGAAAATATAAGCTTTTGCTCAAGGTTAAAGAAAGCAAAAGTAGAAACTACAGATGCTTTGCTCTGGGTGTGCTGGGGAATCGGCAGACCCACACAAAGAGAGCAGTCCTGGCCCAACCCCAAAAGCCTATGTACTTGAACCAAATGTTAAAAAAAAAAAAAAATTTATGTTACATATGTAACTTCAGAAAAATAATTACTGCTTAAATCAACTTAACCAATTAATCCTAATCCCATCAAATATGCAATCTTCCGATTTACATGTGGATAGTCATGAAACATTCATTCCCCTCTTAACTATGATGGCCGAGTGTACAGACCACCAGGTGCTGGGCTCGAATCCGGGCTCTGCCATTTACTTGCTGAAGGATCCTTAACAAACCACTTACTCACTCTGTGTCATCAGCAGTAAGCCAGGGATGATAACAGTGACACTTCCCAGTGCACCGTGGAAATCAAATGAGCTAACACTACAGATAGGAGGAGACTAGAATCATGCCTGGCTCATGCTATATGCTGGACAGGTGGTTACTATTGCTGTTTAATACTGGAATTTACTCTAAAAATGGAATCACAGAAGTGAAAGGGTTTTACAGATACTCAAAACATTGTTTATAACTATAGATTCCCAATAATGGGAATTTAACAACATCAATGTCCAATACCCAATTTGATAAATTATAGTATATCTGTGCAAAATAATACTCTATAGCCACTAAATATCATCTTCTGCAAGGATATGAGAAAATGCTCCCAATATATTATGTGTGAAACCAGGTTACTAAACATAGCGCATTCCCTACTTTTTTTTAAAGAAAGTATGTGCATAGAAAATAAATCCAAAAACAGTTAAAAGAAGTTATCACTACTAATAAGATTATAGGTATATACCACTTCATATTTTTCTACTATGTGTATTACTTTTGTGATAAAAAAAAATTCCTATTAAAAAGTAAGATGGCTGGGGGTAGTTTCTATGTAGATACTTACTCAACAAAAAACACTTGTCCGTTCTCATCGGTTTCTTGTTCCCATCCATATGGCAAATCTGAAACACAAGACAGACTGACAGGTCTCCATGTGCCAGGGTGAAGACCCACCCCAGGTCAGGAAGGAGAGGCATCTGCCCTCTCAGCCAATAGTGGTCGCTTCAACTGGCTGTGATCACATGTTCCAAATGTCTCAGATACAGAAGGCCCAGTTCTCCAACTAGACTCCATATTCCTACCTCTTTAGGTGTCTTTGCTTTAAAGAAAATCTATTTCATTCTTGATCACCCTACGAACCTTACTAGTTGCTCCAATCAATGTCAATTCTCCCTTGAATGAGCTCACAAAACATAACCATATGTATAGTTGGCACCCAACACCATCCATGTGCTGACTTGTGATGCCTCATACAATATTATAGAGCACTTCCATTTTTTTTTGTTTTCAAGTACATGTTGTCCCTTCAACTGGACCCTAACCTCTTAAGGGCAGGGACCTTCTTATACTTCTATTCAAAGAATCACACACTTGCTCAGAAGTACCTAGAAGTCATGGCAATGTTTATGAATGCCATAAAACACTGATGTTTTTAATTCCATACAAAAACCAAGAAAAGTTTTTACAAACTGTGCAACTATAGGGAAACTTAATAAACTGTCAATCAAAGGCCCGAATTATTTTGATACTTTTTAAGACTAGTGAGAAATCATCCTCACTCTACCTCACAATGTCATCACCTTCTTCTGTCAAATCCCAGAAGCTCCTCAGAGCGACAGTCCTATTCCTTGATGGGTTCTCTCCCAGAAAGCCCTCCCGAAAAGACACAATGACCTGTCACTTCACTGCCTGTGACATTTTCCCTATCTAAATAACATTTGAAATACTACATTATTTGCTTTATGACAGCAACATACAAACCTCCTGCTACTCGTTTTCTTTTTCCAGTTTTTGGATGTTCCCATTGAGTCTTCTCCTCAGTGTGACTGTTAAAAACACACAAAAATAATAGTAAATATTAACACTTCTAAAAAGTAACTAATTGTATTAAATTTTTTCTCTCCCAGATAATTCTCTGAAGAGTAGTAAAAACAAGTATTCAAAAAAGAAATTTTCAGAACACAAATTTTACTGTTTGCATCAGGTCAAATTCTCCAGGTTGGAAGCAGCAGCAATCCTGTGGAAATTTCCCAGCATCCTGGCTTTATCAGCCAGGTGTAGAGGGGGAGACGGAAGGAAGACGATGGGGACCCCTGCTATGGGGTCAGCTTTAGGAAGCTGGCTGAATCACTCAAAATACCAAGAAACACATTTTACATTTGTTTTAGTTTTATTCCAGGATATACTGACAAAATTCATGATGTCTTATTTATAATGCTGATATTCAAATATAATTTAGGTAAGTTAATCTTAAAATGTTTATTTTTTTAAAGAAACAGCTGGCCTCAAACCCCTGAGCTCAAGCAATCCTCCCTCATCCTCAGCCTCCCGAGTAGCTGGGACTACAGGCATGCGCTACCAAGCCCGGCTAAAATGTTCATTCTTTCTGCAGATGTAACTTCAAGGTTTTTCAGTAAGCACTGATTCCTAATAAAGAATGCAGCAAGACAGCCCCATAGGTCTTCTAGTTGGGCACCTTTAGTCAAATAACTCAACTTCTTGGCCTTCATTTCCTCATCTGCAAAATGGAAATAATCCTAGTGTTGACCTTGGCGGCTGCTATGAGGATAGTGTACACAAAGGGTTTCACATAGTACCTGGCGTATAAAAAGCCCTGCAAAATACAAGCTATTATTTTGAACAAATCAATTATACAAACGGATTTCTGTGCCAAACTTAAACTTAGGAAACACTCAAAGTTATAATTGAAATAGCATATCAATAACTAGAAACACCTGTCATCAGGTGATAGGGTATCCAGGAAAAGACAATTAATCAGGAAAACAGCCAAATGGGGCAAGAGGCATTCAAAGGGTAGTTTAGATTTCCTAAAAGTTCACATTTGCATGACAAAATAGAAAGTAATATTATTTCATTATAATGATAAAATTTCAATATTCTTTTAAAGAAAGAAAATACAGAGAGCCTGAATTTTCTATAAAATTTTGCAAGTCACAAGGCAAGGTCTCTTCATGTACTGCTGGCTTCTGGTCTGTTTTTACAGACTCCAGGCGGCTGGGCCTCTGCCATAGTTCAGGGATGCTGGGCTCAGGCAGGACACCTGAGCTCCCCATACTAGCTGCGACCAGCCATCCAGTATCCCTGACACTATGGTCACCTCACGGAGCTGCTGGAAAGGTGAGACACCAACACCTGTGACAGGGCTTGGAGAACGATTAAATCCTTGTACCAGCTACAGTATCAGTAGCAAAGACAAACTCCTACTCTGCATTTCAAACACCACCAAACACTACTTGCAAAAAGGAAGCGCTGACTCCCTGGTAAGGGATAAGCCACCCTTCACTGACACAAAGGGAATGTCACTATATCAACTCCGCTTGTCCTAGCAAACTGACAGGAACAGCAATCAGATAACATGCATTGGCAGTAACATACAACCTTCCTGCTCCCTGTCTGGCCATAACTGGTGCTTCAGGGAACTTAAGAGACATCGTTGCACTTTCCTTGGCCTGAAATTAAAAGTAGTTTTCATCTCATAGGCATAGATCAAATGAACTTGGATCATAGCTCCAAAAAGTCTCCCCGCGAGAATCCATGAAGTGATCCCTTAAAGTGCAACAGTGAGCCCCGATGGCAGGCAGTAAAGAGTGTCCTAGGCCCTCAGTAGGTCAAGCAGGGGCTTCAGACACCCAGCCTCAAGCCTGGCCCACAGTAGGCACACATATGTAAATATACAGAATAAACAAATACTTTCCAAAGGAGCTATAAAATGCGGAGCATTTTTATCTATCACGAAAGACATTTAAAAAACAAAATAAACTTTGTCAACCTATGTTCTCAATTTTGAAAGAACATGTCTAGAGTGTCTTACATTCATGTGGGGCTGGGTAACTGTTGTGGAGACTGTCCTGTGCATACCCAGCCCCTACCCACTATGTGCTGATACACCACTCTCCCTAGCTGTGGCAACGGAAAACATCTCTGAGGCCAGGGACAATGGCTCATGCCCGTAATCCCAATGCTTTGGGAGGTTGAGGCAGGAGGATCACTTGAGGCCAGGAGTCCAAGACCAGCCTAAGCAACATAGCAAGACCCACTCTTTTTAAAAAGAAAGCAAGCATCTCCAGACATTGCCGACCACCCCATGCAGAACTATTGTCCCTGGGAGAGAACCCAGACCTATCTGAAGTCAAGGGACAGCAATGTGGCAGTGAGGATTCTGGAGCCTGATTGCCCAGGTTTTCTGGTTCTCCAACTCACTAGCCACCCACCCCCGTCCCTCAGTTTCCTCATCAGTAAGTGGGGACAATAACACCACCTACTTTGGGGGGTTATAGAGGACTGAATAAGCTAACATGTGAAGAACCAAGAACTGTGTCTTTCAACAGAAGTATTATTTTAAATACTTATATATAAAAATAAATTAAAAGATATTTTTAATTATAACCTTAAATGACTTTTTAATGAAGAGAAAACTATCATACATGGCCTCAAAGCGTTATCTTATTCCCCCTTAAATAGAAGCTCTCTTTTTTCCTTTCAATAAGCTTGTCATCTAAAGAGATAATTAACAGTAATCTTACCTTACTTAAACCAAAGGGATCAAAATAAAGTTTACACATTACATCCTCCAAAGTTTTTATTTTGATTTTTGTTTGTTTTTTAAAGCATAGTTTAAGTTAGCAGGGAGCTCTAGAGCCAACTGTAAGGACAGCCAGCTCCATGGTCAAGGGAACCTTTTCTTGACAGGGAGAGGCTGGCTGTCCCTCTGGCTTCACAAGAACACGGGGACAGGGAAGGACGACCCAGGAAGATCTTGTCCCTCTGACTCCATCTCCCACAGAGGGTCTGCTCTGGAGCTGTTGGTGGGGTGGCTGGGAGAAAGGCCAGGCAGCTCTCTCTGCCCACAGGTCTATCTTCAGTGACACCTGTCCCTGGGAGCCCTAAGACACACAAGCCTTTGAGGCCTATGGGTGCACCATGGGGCAGGTGGGAAAGTGAGAGGCCAACAGCACCCACACAAGACAGGGCTGAGGCTATAAAAGGGGGCTCCACAGGACTGTTCTCCAGCATAGCCCTGCTGCCCAGTGAGGAAGACCATTCAGGGAAAGAGGAACGACTAGAAGAGCCCATTAGCAAAGCTTCCCAAACTCCAAGAGAAAGATGAGTGTGGTTTCCAGAGTTAGAAAGGAAAAGAGCCAGGTCACTGGCAGATCAGGAAAGGTCAAAGGAACCCAGGGTTAGGACAGGCCAGCGGCATCCTTGACGCAAACAAGCTGCCCTCATGAAGTTTAAAATCTGGAGGAGGTAGACAGAACAAAGGAGGAAGAGGACAAGATTTCTACATAGGCCAGGCATGGTGGCTCACACCTGTGATCCTAGCACTCTGGGAGACTGAAGCAGGAGGATAGCTTGAGCTCAGGATTTTGAGACCAGCCTGAGTAAAAGCGAGAGCCCATCTCTACTAAAACTGAAACAAATTAGCTGGACAACTAAAAATATATAGAAAAAAAAATTAGCTGGGCATGGTGGTACATGCCTGTAGTCCCAGCTACTTGGGACGCTGAGGCAGGAGGATTGCTTGAGCCCAGGAGTTTGACGTTGCTGTGAGTTAGGCTGACGCCACAGCACTCTAGCCTGCGCAACAGAATGAGACTCTTTCTATCTCAGAAAAAAAAAAAAAAAAAAAAGAGTTCTACATAATGCTAAGTATGGGAAAGCAGATAAACAAGCAGCAAACAAGGTGATAGGTACGGAGTTGGGACACCCACACCTGGGAAGTTCTCTTGGACAGTGACATTTAGGCTCAACTCTGAAGAATGGAAAGGGGCCTATCATCTACAGTTCTTCAGGCAGAAGGAACAGCAACTACCTGCTCTGGAGCTTGCCTGGACCCTGCAACAGCTTAATGGCTCCCTGTTGCTGGAATTGTCCCTTTGATTCTCCAGAGCCAGAGATCCTTTCTAAAGACACAAACCTAATGCCACTCCCTGGCCCCAAAACTTTAGGGACCCCCTGGGCCTGCCAACAGAGCCCAAGATCCTCAGCAAGGCACAAAAGGGCCTCCATGAACTGTGTCTTTCCTTCCCTGCCTCAGTTGTCACATTCCTGGACCACACACAGAACACCAGTCCCTGGACAGGCCATGCCCAGTGTTTCCTCTACCTGGGCTGTCGTCTTGTCCCACCTACCTCTTCTTGTGGTCAGGACACAGTTCAGGTGATCACTCTCCCAGGTCACCTCCTAACACACCCCACCAACCCATACACACAGTCATGGCAGACTATTTTACTACATGCGACTCTGCCCTAAGACTGCTTACTCATTAGGGATGACAACTGAGTCTTATCTATCTTGGTATTGTTACAGCAAGTGTTACAGCGGGTGGTTCCGAGGACAAACCAAGTGGCACATGGAGAGTCAGAGAATCAAGGTTTATTTGCCAGTGGGCTCAGAGGGGTCTCGCTACCAAATTCTGAGCCCCATCTACCCGAATTTTTCCCACTTTTATTAAGTTGGGGTGGTCCAAGGGGTGGGATCTCACGTGGCTAATGTGTCAGGTAATAGTTGATGTGCCAGGTAATAGGTTTAGTATTATGCTGATGCACTAGGTAATAGATGAGGGTTTTCCTTATCAGTATAACCAGTGCTGGGCAAAGGGCCTGGCACATAAGCTCTATATGTCTTCAATGAATGAACTGATGCTTCTTTGTTTTTTCTGTTTTTCTTTCTACCAGGCCACCAAAGAGCAGTTCACAACCACCTTGAGTAGGTAAGAATCACCAGATTTTACAATCTACGAACACAGAGGAGGGGAGGGCCCAAATCAATTAAATCAGAATCTCTGGATTTAATTTAATTCTGACTTCTCTGGGGCCCAAGGAAAGCTAATTTTAAAGTTTTCCAGGTGCTGAAAATCACAGATTGACAACCACGTTTCTCAAAGCCAAGTGATAATCCACCTCACCTGGAAAGGCTCAGAAATACAGATTTCCCCAAGTTGAGAGTCCGCTGCAGTAGGTTCTCCACGGAGACCCAAAATTTATATTTAAGACAGTCCCCAGATGATTTTAAGGTGCTGATCTAAGGACTGTCATCACAGCTAAAGAGCCATCAGGAAAGACTAACAGTTACTGAAGAGAGTATCCTTTAGGCCCTGCGGTAGGTGCTTTATGCACAGTACCCAAAGTGACTCTCATATCAACTCACTTTACAGATGAGAAAACTGAGATTAAATGTCCTTTCAGTGGCCCAAGTTCACACAGTTAGTGATGGAGCAAGGCTCTGCCAGAGTTTCCAAAACTTTCCCAGGAAACGCTAGCGAAGCTCCTTAGGACAGCTGTTAAAAAAAAAATAAACACTCCTAGACACCCCATCCCAGACCCTCGAGGAGGAAGGTGGGCATCTACACTTTTAAAAATTTTCTAATCTTTTTGCAGGGAGCGGGATTTAACCGGTTTTCCACTACAGACCACGCAGTGCCGCCTCGTGAACAGCAGAGCGCGCGCCTGGGCTCCACCAGGTGACCCTTGCTAGACCCACGGACCACAAAGGGGGCCAGTCCCGGTGGGGCTGGACGGGGACCTCGAACCATCCACCTGGAGCTCTTTGACCATCGTCTCCACTTCGCACCGCTCTCGTCACGCTGAGGTGCGGGGCCCGCGCCCCTCCCCCCACCCCCGCACAGGTGGCGCGGGAGGGCAGCGCAGGGTCGCAGGTGCGTCCCAGGCCCAGCGGCTCCCTTACTTGGCATAGTAAACCCAGCGTCCTTGGTGGTTCCCTCCTCCCAGCCCCGGGGGCAGTTCGTCCTCACTGCCCTGTCGTCCAGGCCCGCGTAGCGCAGGGCTGCCATCGCTGACAGGAAAGCCGCCCGCTCGCCCGCCAGGTGACCCTTGCTAGACCCAGGGACCACAAAGGGGGGCCAAGCCCGGTGGGGCTGGACAGGGACGACCCTCGAACCATCCACCTGGCGCTCTTTAACCATCGCCTCCACTTTGCACCGCTCTCGTCACGCTGAGGCGCGGGCCCCGCGCCGCCCACCCCCGCACAGGTGGCGCGAGAGGGCAGCGCAGGGTCGCAGGTGCGTCCCAGGCCCGGCGGCTCCCTTACTTGGCATAGTAAACCCAGCCGTCCTTGGTGGTTCTCTCCTCCCAGCCCGGGGGCAGTTCGTCCTCACTGTCCGTGTCGTCCAGGCCCGCGTAGCGGAGGGCTGCCATCGCTGACAGGAAAGCCGCCCGATTGCCCAATGCAGGCTCTCCTCACACTGAAACTGACTCTCGCTTCAACCGCGCCGCGCGCGCCGGGGCTCGACCGCTCGCGCCTGCGCACTGCGGTGCCCAGGGTCGCTCAGCCGACTATGCAGCTGCGATCCAGTCTCCCGAGCTTTGCAGCTGCCAGCGCAAAAGGGGCGGGGCCTGGAGGGAAAGGCAGGGACAGCGCAGAGGCGCTCGCTCTGCCACTCGGCTGGACGTCAAACCCGGATAACGCCCTGTGATCCGGGAATTGGAACGGAGCTTCGTTCCCCCCTCAGGCCTCAGGGAAGGGGCGTGTGCATCCCGTCACGGTCCAGGACTCCGCCCGTTGCTGGGCGACCTGCAATCACTTCCGCGGTGTTCTGGCCAATCCTGCAAGAGCGCCCGCAACGGGGCGACCTGGGAAATGTAGTCCAGGCCCTGAGGGAGGGGACAGAGAAATGAGAAGGAAGTTGCTTTGGGCCCTTGTGAAGAGTAAAATGTTCCTGATCAAAAGCCTTCCAGAGTTTGCTATCACTCGGGCTGATTCACAAATTTTGCTGCGCATGCAAACACAATATTATATAACCTGGAGAACTTAAAAATGCAAATTACCATGCCTCCTGAATTCCCACGCTTGGAAAGGGTTCTTCCAGGCAAAGCATGGTTCTGTGGATAATAGTCGCTAACTATGGAGCGGTTAATGAGACTCTCTCTGTCTCACGTACCCAGTGTGGGCACAACTCAGAAAGGGTAGCTAACTGCCTGAGAAATCACAGAAGGCGGCAGAGCCAGGGAATTCCTGGCAGTTGAGACCTCATTGCTGCATTACAATTATTTATTCACCTGTGTAGTCGCTGCTGGACTGATAAAGCATATCTAATGCTTCTTTCTGTCACTTGGTAAAATGCTTAGACCTACAAGTTTATTAAATGAATGAATGAAAGAATGTAATTCCTCTCAGCTCTTACTTGAGCAGGAAAAAAAAGAAGAAGAGAGAAAAGGAAAATAAATAAAATTAAAAAATAAAGAATGTGATTGCTTAGGTTTGGTTCTCTGTGGACCAACCTAATTAAAAACAAAATTCCATATTCACAAAGTAGACTGTCTCATATCCTCTTGGAACACGGACAGGTATCCTATATATGTCCTGTAGGCAAAACCTGAAGCTTATCTTCAACTTGGCGTCACCTAAGGAGTATTCCAGAACATTCCCCCTTTGGAACTTGCTCCTCAGCCCCTGGTAACAGGAAAATCCACTGACCATGATTTCTCTGGCCTACATCCCAGAGAATGCAAGCCTCCATCAGAAAAATTATGTATTTTAATGGACAGTGTGTGGAAGAGGTAGTGTTGCCTTTTGTCTTCCAGTCCTGAAATTGATGACTGCCTTGGTTCCCGCCGTGCATGCTCTTGAGGGAAGAGACTTGCTTTTCTAAACTTGACTAACCAAAAGCTCACTTAATGAAAGCACCTTTTAGTTTTAAAAGGCCTGCTATCCCATCTTGAAAATAACATGACTTTTTTCAAATCTGCATGCATTTAAATCTGCTACCATGAACCTGCTGCTCCTCCGCTCACCTCAATTTAGCCCCTTACCACTCACCTAAGCCCACTTCCTCCTTTCATATGAGTGGGAAAGTAAGTCACAAAATCCCCTGATTGTGGGGAAGGGAATGAATGTGTTCAAACTTATTAAACTCAGTTTATCCAATCATTATCTGTGGCTTTGTTCAGTTTCTCAAGGACTGTCTGTTTAGATTTTGTCTTGGTTTGTCCTGGCTGAAGCTTCTACTGGCACCTATTGCCTGTGCCTTGGCGTTAAATCACAGGTACAGGTACTGATATTGAATGGTGTTCCCCAAGCCGAGTAGCAGTCCCCCTGGTAGAATTCTAAACTTCTGGTCAACCCTCTGCTGTTCCTACAACTTTAACAATTCCCTCTAAGGCTTCTCCTGCCGTGGACACAAGGGTTTCTCAGCCTCAGCATTAATGACATATGGGGGCCACATAATTCTCTGTTGTCGGGCTGCCCTGTGCATTGCCGGATGTTTTGCAGTAGTATGTCTGGCTTCTAACCACTAGACGGCAGTAGTGTGCATCTCTCCAGGTTGTAACAAGCAAAAATGTCCTTAGAAGTTGCCAATTTTGGCCCCAGTTAAGAATCTACACTAACAGTGAGTCAGTAAATTACTAACTCACTAATCAAGTGAGTTACAAATTTATTTATTAATTCTCTGTTGTGGGGCTGCCCTGTGCATTGCAGGATATTTTGCAGTAGTATGTCTAGCCTCTAACCACTAGATGGCAGTAGTGTGCCCCTCTCCAAGCTGTAACAACCAAAGATGTCCTCAGAAGTTGCCAATTTTGGCCCCAGTTAAGAATCTACACTGACAGTAAGTCAGTAAATTGCTAACTCACGAATCAAGTGAGTTACAAGATTTATTTACTAATTCTCTGTCGCGGGGCTGCCCTGTGCATTGCAGGATGTTTTGCAGTAGTATGTCTGGCCTCTACCCACTAGATGGCAGTAGTGTGCCCCTCTCCCAGTTGTAACAACCAAAAATGTCCTCAGAAGTTGCCAATTTTGGCCCCAGTTAAAAATCCACGCTGACAGTGAGTCAGTAAATTGCTAACTCACGAATCAAATGAGTTACAAGACTTATTTAAGGCATTGAAGAGCCCTCTCCTATCAGAGGTGATTTACAGGGTGGGTCTGGAACCCTGCTAGTTTCAGCACAAGCTGATTGCTGAGTTGTGTCGCATTGTGTGGATGCAAGGCAGGTCAGAGACGTGGGCTACAGAAATCCGAATGGCTCATGTCATTTTCTTCCCCCTTCCTATATTGTATTTATTGGGCTATATCAGTTTAAAGAAGTAACACATATAAACATGGGGGATTTTTCAAGGTTAGCGTGCCAGATTTTAGGATTTATAGTCTTTGGCTTCACTAAAACATAATATTCTAGTCCAGCTCATTTGGTTACAAGAAGCAGAGACTCATTCAAGAACAAGAGTTTATGGTCAAAGTGTACATGACCTGAACTAGACTGTTACTAGAAATAACATATGAGGAAGCCCAAAGACAGGCTCGGGTTTGTTTGTTTGTTTGTTTGTTTGTTTGTTTTTTGCCCTTCTTGTGGTTTCATGGTCTCTTTCCCTCCAAGCCCTCACGGGCTACAATTTCTGCTCCCTCCTCACTGTCTTTCTCTATTTACTTATAGTTTCTGGCTCCCTGGACTTTAGCTTTGACTTAACTCCTATAAAGATCTGTCAGCAGGCAAATCCAATTTAACAATTTAACGTGGTTAGTAAGATTATAATAGGCTTAAGAAACCCTTATGTTTGGGAATGAGCAGAGGCTCTCAAAATGTAACCCTGAGAAAGCCTCAAGAACGCTTTGTTTTTGTAAAGACAACTGAATCACATTGATTATTAGTAGGGAGGTTAAACCAAAAAAACCAATGTGTGGTTACACAACTGTACACCAGATGGCGCTGACTGCCCACGATTTTAAAGGCTAACGGTGCGTTCTTAACAGGATTTTCTACATGTGGGCTTTCTTTCCTTTTTGATTGGTTACTTCTGCAATTACTGACAATTTATGATAAGATTGATCGGTGTTTGCCAAACACAATGTGGCATTGCTCAAACGAAATGTATGCAGTGGGCACAAGCTCCTGGAACCACATTTCTTTTCTTTTTTTTTTTTACCCCCTTTTTCTTTTTTTTGAGCAGTACTTTATGCCAGGAGTCACATTTCTTTAGTACCATAGCTATAAAGATGGTCATTTCCCTCATCTTCCACCCTCCTACACACAAACCCCCCAAAGACTCTGAGCTCCATTTAACTTACATCACCATTCTTTGGGAAGTTAATCCTGACGTTTTGGTACTGTCAGGTTTCAGAATGAAATGTCGGTTCTTGGCGCACCCATGGTGGAAGAATGACCAGACACACCAAAGTAAGGCAAGCACGAGGTGAAATATATCGAGGAGGAGCAAGAGAGGATCACAATAGGATTACAGGGCAAGAGCAAGACACAGATATAGGTTTACAGAGCAAGATACATATGTGTGATTTAGCCATTCCACGATATATACATATGTCAAAATAATATGTTATACATAATAAATATATATACAATTTTTATTTGCTAATTTAAGACAATAAATATAAGCCTGTCTGGAAGTAAATTAATAAAGTTATTAAGAAATTATTTTGCTTTTTTTTCTGTGCCAAGCACAGAAAAATGTCTGCAGGGTTAAAACTATAGAATATTATAGCCAGTATTATTCAGTTTGCATGATACCATGTGTCCATTCAATAATAAGCAATTTAGACAGATTAACTCCCTGAATCTCACAACAACTCTATGAAAAATAGACTATGAATATTCCCATTATACAGTTGAGAAAACCAAGGCAGAAAGTGGTTAGGTATTAAGGAATAGCAAGTAGCAGAGTTCTGGCATCCCAACTCAAACCATGATGTCATAATACCTCTGAAGACAGAGTCTCTTCCCATGAGGAATTTGTAATCTACCCAGGATGGCAGACAGCCCCTTGACTCTACTTGTCCTACACACATCTCTGCTCCCGTCACCTCCCCCCACCCACTCCCAGGCTCAGGTGAATATTGAGGGGTGGGGAACCTGCAGCATCAGGGCCACATGTGTGGGTCCCCAAGTGCAGTCCCTCCACCGAAAAAATGTGGAAAGTTAGGAAATTCACCCCCCTGTCTCATGCTGTGAGTAACAGAGAGGAACTGGCTTTCCTCCACCTGTCTGATCTGCTCTAGCTCTTACCCACCTACACCTGTTCCCACCTGTCTGGCCACAGGAGGGAGCACTTCTGCCCAGAGCAGGGCCTTCCTGCAGCAGCAAGTGGCAGAGATAGACGTGTGGACAGAAAGATCTGGATCTAGTAGCCAATGCCTAATGCAAGCAGTGAGTGTTTTCACCACTGCTCATAAGCTACTGACTTTACTATCATAAACCAAATATTGCCCAGTCCCCATTTCTTCTGGCTTCAAATCTTGAAACCTTCAGAATTTCAACTGATAACCAAAATTTCAACAACTATTGTATCTTCCATCAAAAATGATTTACCATTGCTAATCTACATTTTTTCCCTCTGCCTCTACAGAGCTTTTCAAAATTTGAGCCAAATGTCCCATAATGTCATTAAAACAAAAGAGAGATAATTGAAACAACCAGTGGAATGGTTTTGGAAAAGTAGCTTTATTTTACTAAGTTTATTCCTTTGAGTACCATAAATATTTTTAAACAAGGATTTGAT